ACTCGTTTATTACAAATCGTCAGCTTTCAAGATTTCTGCTGCAAAGAACGGGACGAAGTGCACGCGCGTGCGTCGTCGCGCGCGCATGCAAGGATGTCGAGATCGAGGGCCGCGATACCATATAAGAACAAATGGTGTCGCAACATGGGTTTTCAAAAAATGTCTGCGCCCGCGCCCTCGCGATTCCTTCAGACATCCGACAATTTTCTTTTTTTATTCATCAATTGCACAACTTGCTATCGAACGGGCCTTTCGCGCGCGCGTGTCGAAATCGCTCGAGCGCCATTTCGCGCTTGCTGTCGTCAGGTTCCCTTTGCAAGAGGGTGCGCGCGCATGCTGGAAGCCTTCAAGACACCTGGGGTGCCGTAAGGATTCCAAAAACGAGTGCCCCGAGCACGTGTCAAAACGAGTTGTTTTCGCAACAGTAGTTCTCAAAAGTTACCTGCGCGCGCGGTTTTGCGGAATCTTGAATGAACCATTGGATTTTCAGCATGTTTGTAGAATTACGACAAACGGGCCTTTCGTGCCCCGCGTCGACATCATACGAACGCCCTTGCGATGGGCGGGGGCGCTCCATGTCAAATAATGCTACGCGGGCCACTCTCGCGCGTCGCTCGCGCGCGCATGTCGAACCCAATCAAAATCTTTCATCGCCGACGCGAGGACATCATCATTGTTTTCGGCGGGCCTGATCAGCATCGGCGCTGTCATTGGGCCTTGCCGTCGTTATCGCCACCATCGTCGCCCGCTGCGCGCGAGCATGCGCGGGACAGCGCGGCGCGGCCACAGAGATGCACCAGCCAACGCCAAGCACTCATCGCAATCGCCGCCGCATGGGTTTTGCAAACCAAGTTGCGGGTGTGTGGGTGGGATGTTTGCAAGAGCGTGGAATTGGTCAAATCGTTTGTAAAAACCACTTGCACCATGTAGATTGCACCACCTACTTTGTTCCGCAACGTTTGCACAACATACACTGCTGGAGATGCGGTTTGGGGGCCACGCGTGCTAGCATATGCCCCGTTGGTTTTTCCTTGCTTGGTCCATGGGAAGTTCTTAGCTTGGGCCAGTACTTTTGTCATAACATCGTATTCCTTCGTTTGTCTTTCGCTGGTTTTGACCCCCAGAAGTCTTACCCCCATTAGCAAGCGAATGGTCGGATGCAGCTCTTGGGTGGTGAAATTCAAAGTCGGCGCTGGTATGTCGCTGGCCGAGCATTGGCCCAATTCCAGACGCGTTTCTTTCGTGACCCCACCAACCCATCCAGAAACGATGCCCAGAAGAGTTGCCTTGAACAGGGATGTGAAGGAGCACGCAGTGGAATATAGGGCTGGGTACGACGTCGTACCCCTAGTTGGGGGAGGATGGAAGAGGAATCGGCGGAGGAGGAGTAGAGAGAGGGGGAGAAGGAATGGGGAAGGTGAAGCAGGAGGAGGGCGAGCAGAAAGGCCAGAAAATTCGTGGATGCTTATCGGAGTCTCTTCGGATGTCTCTTGGCAGTTTCTCGTAGGCCTCTAAGCGGCCTCTTTGCGGCCTCTTGGCGGTCCTGGGGACTTCTTGAAGCGTCTCTGAGGCCTCGGGGGCTCTTGGAGGTCTCTTGGGATCCGAGCCTTTGGGGGACCTCTTGGAGGCCTCTTGGGGCTTCCTCAGCGCATGTGGGGGCCCTATTGGAGCACTCTTGAGAGCCTCGGGGGCCATCTTGGGGGCTCAATTAGGGCCACCCGCTCCAGGAGGCTTCCATGGCCCTAAACCTCAGAAGTATCAGTGATTTGTGGTTTCTCGCCGAGGCCACCTTGGACGCTCCGACGACCCGCGGCACCCCCCCTCCAGACCCAGGGGGACGGGGTAGGGGGAGGGGTTAAGACACCCCCTAGATAGCAAGCCGCCTAGCTCACTCCCACCCGCCCTCCCAACACATAAGCAACGCCCGAGCCTGAGCGTGTTCAGCGGTGTTCTCTGGATAGACAGCTACTGGGAACCAACACCGACCCCATGTGCGCGACGCTGGGGCGATGTGCGCCAGGCCTGCCAGGCGCGCCACGCGCGCCAGGCACCCCTGGGGCCCGAGCGTTCCAGGCACGCCTGGTGCGCCAGATGCGCCACGTGCTCCACGTGCGCCATGTGTGCTGCATGCTCCAGCCGCGCCAGGTGCGCCACGTTCGGGGCACGTGCAGAGTGTGTCAGGCGCGTCTGCGCACGTGACAGCACACATCGGGAAACATGTCGACACCCACCATCCTTGTCGACAATCAATGCCCATCATTGTGTCTGGTGGGCCTGCGCACAGCAGGCCATGCGCCACCACCCCCGCCGTCTCTGCCAAAACCCACTTGACAGTGATGACGGGGTGACCGCGCATGATCCAGACGTAGCCGCGAGGTGGACTGTGTATTGTTCGTTGCTGGGATGGTAGCCCTGTGCACAGCAGACTTTATACTGACACCCCCGCCGCCCCTGTCAAACATAATACAAAGCGATCGCGTGGAGCACTGTCTGTCTTGCCTGCGGCTGCGTGGCCACCCAAGCCGTCCCTAATTTGTCGGGGGCGGCCTAGAGGGGGGTGATGACTAGGGGGGGCGGTATCATGGCGTGGGTCATGATACCTCCCCAGATTTCATGGCGCTTCTACTTATTTCAATACGTCCATGGCTCCCCCTTGGGCCGCGCACGTGCCGCTGGCCATGATTTGCCCCCCCCCCCCCCCCCCTCTTGGACGCCCCCCTCTTGGCCGCCCCCGAATTTAGTTACTGTTTACAAGCAGCCTTGAAGATCTATGGCAAGAGGCAGTTTGTGAAAGTGTAGCAAGGCCTGCCCCCAGGATCGTCAAGGCTTACCACAGGGCAGGCACCCCATAAGAAGGTCCTGCAGTAATCCGTTTAGCTCTGCCTCTGGCTGGAATGGAAACAATTCTCCCTCTCCCCCTCCCCCTCCCCCTCTTCCCCCACCTCCTCTTCCTCCTCGTCCTCCTCCCGTTCTCCCGTCACCCATCAGTCACCAGGCAGGCAGGCAGCCCTGAAGAAGGTCCTTCGGTAAACCCTTCAGCTCGGCCTCTGGCTGGAATGAACAAACGCGTGACGCCGGGCGTGAGCGCACTCGTTCCTGAGGTGTCGTGCCGCGCTGGCGGCCCGCGTGCGTCGCGGCGTCAGGTCGCAGTGCCATCTCGCGTCAGACCCGCATGTTTTCGTCGCTCAGCTGCCGTCTCCCCAGGAAGATGGTCGCGCCGTGCGGCCCGGGCCAGGGATCAGCATCCTTGGGGCGACCCCTCTCCCCATCCCCATCCCTATCTCTAGATCCCCGCCATTCCAGCACCCTGGTTGGGGGCACACCCCTCGGAACTCCTGGGGAACGGCCTGGATCCCCTATCTGGGGGGGCAAGCCGGCCAGTGGGGCCCAGGCCACGCCCATGGGCAGAAGGGGACGATGCTCGAGGGAGCTCGTGGTGCCGTGCGGCCCGGGCCAAGGGAGCCAGCCTGCCTCCTGAGCGGCGGGCGCCTTGGGGAGCCGGAGGCAAAGCGCGTCGCGCGGCAATCCGCGGGGAGCGGGGCGCGGAGCCGCGAGCGAGGGCGCTGGCGAGGAGAGGGAGCAGGAGGGCGCGGAGGACGAGGGGTAAGTAGGAGGAGGAGGAGGAGGAGGAGGAGGAGGAGGAGGAGGAGGAGGAGGAGGAGGAGGAGGAGGAGGAGGAGGGGTAAGGAGGAGGAGGAGGAGGAGGAGGGGAGGAGGAGGAGTGTAAACCGAAGAGTCATCCGCCATGTTGGAATGAACCCTCCCTCCAAGCTGCCTCCTCAGAGGCCCCTACAACGGTTAATTTCCACTGAGGGAACTGCCTCGTCGGAAGACAACCGTTTGAAGACTCTGAAGCATATCAAAACATTATTATCGGGATTCCGACGCCACGGATAAACCTGACTGTTGCGTCTTGACGATCCTGAATCGTGCTAGTACGCCATTCGAGGGACTTCAACACCGCGAGTCAATATACATGCTGCAACCTGATAATTCTGAATATTCCCCCAAAGAACCAGTTCTGGTACATTGATCATGGGAATCCGTGAAACTCTTTTTGCAGGTATTCTAGACGAATGTGCGCGGCGCTAAGTCGAGAGCCACATTTTGAAGAGGAACCGCCCTCAATCCGTAAAACTCTTGCAACTGTGTAAAGCAAGTGTACGCGGCGCTAAGGCGAGAGTCACGTTTTGAAAAGGAACCGCCCTCAATCCGTAAAACTCTTGCAAATGTGTAAAACAAGTGCGCGTGGCGCTAAGGCGAGAGCCATATTTTGAACACGACCCGCCCTCCATCTGTGAAACTTTTGCCAATGTTTGAGCTTCAAGGTCATAAGTGGTGAGGACGTCTCAGGCGAAGCGCCCAGCCGGAGTGCGACAGGGAGAAGGCATTTTGTAAGTTAAAGGAACGGAGGAGGAGGAGGAGGCGGATGAGGAGGAGGAGGAGGAAGAGGGGTGGCGCCGTCAGTGGAGCTGGTATCCAGGTCGACGCAGGGTCTGCCCTGATCCCGTTCGGCAGGAGGAGAAGGAGAAGGAGGAGGAGGAGGAGGAGGAGGAGGAGCGTGCGGAGGAGGGAGAGGAGGAGCTCGGCGCGGGTGGCGCGTGCAGTGCGGGCTCGGGTGAGCTGTGGACACCCCGCCCCCCGCAGGGCGACGCCCTGGCCACGGAGGCGCAGATGCTCGCGGAGTGAGCGCGCCTTCGTGCGAGCAGCACGCCCGTCCCCCCCCAGGCCTCCGGGCGCGCTGTACGTGGCAAAGGGCGGGCGTCGGAGGCCGATCGGCCTCCAGAATTCACTCCTGTTGTTTCGGGGGAACGTAAGACTCGAGTTCGCCGGAGCTCGCGTTCGCCGAAGCATTTCCGACGGGCCCGTCCTGAATTTTGACGGTCCAGTTTTCGTGGTATGTCTGCAGCGCGGGCTTGCGTCAGATTTCAGACCCGGTATCGTCGTTTTCCTGACGGCCCCGTCAGGCCAACCCGGGTCCCCCGAGCCCGAGTCTTGTGTCTCCCTGATGTTGGTAGGATAGGCCCCTCGTGTTTTTTCCGCGCCCGCCGAGTTAGGCTCTGGGACCTCGTTGCTCCCGCTGGTCCAATCACCCCTTTCCTCGTCTTCAGTCACTATGGGGGGAGGGGGAGGAGATAGGAGGAGGAGGAAGAGGAGGATGATGAGGAGCATAAAGAGGAGCGAGGAGGGATGGAGAGGGATGCAGGGAGGCAGGGAGGGAGGGAGGGAGGGAGGGAGGGAGGGAGCGAGGGAGGGAGGGAGGGAGGAGGAGGAGGAGGAGGAGGAGGAGGAGGAGAAGGAACAATTATCCTGGCGAAGGACCCAGCCACATGCAAGTGTGAGTACCGCAGTTGTGATCATCTCCGTCGGTTGAGCTTCCTAGCCGCATGCGAGCGCAGCCGCTGGGGCCTTCGGTGGAGCTCCCCCATGGGGCCACGAAGCGTCCGAGGGTGTGCTGACATGGGGGCGGAACCGCATGCGAACGCTGCCACAGGGGCCTTTGGTGGAGCTCCCTCTGGCCCCATGCGGCCACGAAGCGTGTGAGGGGTGTGCCGAAATGGGGGTGGAACCGCATGCGAACGCTGCCACTGGGGCCTTCGGTGGAGCCCCCTTATGGGGCCACGAAGCGTGTGAGATGTGTGCCGAAATAGGGGTGGAACCGCATGCGAACGCTGCCACTAGGGCCTTCGGTGGAGCCCCCTTATGAGGCCACGAATCGTGTGAGGGGTGTGTCGACATGGGGGTGGAAACGTATGCGAACGAAGCCACTGGGGCCTTCGGTGGAGCCCCCTTATGGGGCCACGAAGCGTGCGAGAGGTGTGCCGAAATGAGGTGTGGAACCACATGCGAACGCTGCCATTGGGGCCTTCGGTGGAGCCCCCTTATGGGGCCGCGAAGCGTGTGAGGGGTGTGCCGACATTGGGGCAGACCCGCATGCGAACGCTACCACTGGGGCCTTTGGTGGAGCCCCCTTATGGGGCCACGAAGCGCGTGAGGAGTGTGTCGACATGGGGGTGGAACCGCATGCGAACGAAGCCACTGGGGCCTTCGGTGGAGCTATCTATGGGGCCACGAAGCGTGTGAGGAGTGTGCCGAAATGGGGGTGGAACCGCATGCGAACGTGTCACTGGGGCCTTCGGTGGAGCTCTCCATGGGGCCACGAAGCGTGTGAGGGGTGTGCCGAAATGGGGGCGGAACCGCATGCGAACGCAGCCACAGGGGCCTTCGATGGCGCTCCCTATGGCCTTCTGGGGCCACGACTCGTGCGAGGGGTTTGCCGAAATAGGGACGGAGCCGCATGCGAACGCAGCCACTGGGGCCATCGGTGGAGCTCCCTATGGGGCCACGAAGCGTGTGAGGGGTGTGCCGAACTGGGGGTGGAACAGCATGCGAACGCTACCACTGGGGCCTTTGGTGGAGCCCCCTTATGGGGCCACGAAGCGTGTGAGGGGTGTGCCGAAATATGGGTGTAACTGCATGCGAACGCTGCCACTGGGGCCTTCGGTGGAGCCCCCTGATGGGGCCCCGAAGCGTGTGAGGGGTGTGCCGAAATGGGGGTGGAACCGCATGCGAACGCTGCCACTGGGGCCTTCGGTGGAGCTACTTATGAGGCCACGAATCGTGTGAGGGGTGTGCCGGAATGGGGGTGGAACTGCATGCGAACGCTGCCACGGGCCTTTGGTGGAGCTCCCTGTACGGCCACGAAGCGTGTGAGGGGTGTGCCGAAATGGGTGTGGAACTGCATGCGAACGCAGCCATTGTGGCCTTTGGTGGAACCCCCTTATGGGGCCACGAAGCGTGTGAGGAGTGTGCCGAAATGGGGGTGGAACCGCATGCGAACGTGTCACTGGGGCCTTCGGTGGAGCTACCTATGGGGCCACGAAGCGTGTGAGGGGTGTGCCGAAATGGGGGTGGAACCGCATGCGAACGCTGCCACTGGGGCCTTCGGTGGAGCTCCCTATGGGGCCACGAAGCGTGTGAGGGGTGTGCCGAAATGGGGGCGGGACCGCATGCGAACGCTGCCACTGGGGCCTTCGGTGGAGCTACTTATGGGGCCACGAAGCGTGTGAGGGCTGTGCCGAAATAGGAGTGGAACAGCATGCGAACGCTACCACTGTGGCCTTCGGTGGAGCCTCCTTCTGGTGCCACGAAGCGTGTGAGGGGTGTGCCGAAATGGTTGACATGCGGAGGGCAGAGGCAAGGATTGGAGGAGCGATGAGGGGGGAGGGGGCAGCGGGAGGTGAGGAACGCAGGGCGCCTTCTTTTCAAAACGAAGACCCAACACCACAGGATGGTCGGGAAAAAACGGGGGAGGATGAACATGATGCGGACCAGAGTAGGCCCAAGATGTATCAACGATGTTGCAATGCATGTTCCCGTTCCAAATCCTTTCCTTGAGTCTCTACATGCCGTCCTGTTCAGTACAAGAAGAGCCCTCTTGAAAACCAGCACCCTCTTCAGACGCATGTTGTCCGCACGCCCGCACACCCCATGTGACCGCTATTAGAAAGGGTGCGCTCGTGGCACATTTCTCACTAAACGAGGGCCCCAGCTTGAGCGACTCCCCCCTTCTTTTCCCGAGCCCATGCTCAGACCAGGCTCCCCTTTCAAAGGGGGGGGGCTTCCGACGCTCCCCCCCCCTCCCCTCCTTATATTGGCTGTTCCAGCTGGAGGGCCCTAGCTGAAGAGGGAGGGGGCTTCGAAGCTACTTTTCTTCTTTGATTTTCGGCGCCCCGTTGGTTTCGGCGTACTTGTGGTTTTCGGCGTCTCTTTGGTTTTCGGCGCCTCTTTGGTTTTCGGAGCCCATTTGGCCTTTGGCGCCCCTTTGGTTTTCGGCGCCCTTTTGGTTTTTGGTGCCCCTTTGGTTTTCGGCGCTTTTGTTGCTTGCGGCGTTCCTTTGATTTTCGGCGCCCTTTGTTGTTTCCGTGCTCAATTTTTTCCGCGCGTCGTTGGTTTCTGACGCCATCTTGGGATCTGGCGCCCCTTTGGTTTTCGGCGCCCTCTTGGTTTTCGGCGCCGATTTGGTTTTCGGCGCTCTTCGGCTTTCGGCGCGCCTTTGGCTTTTGGCGCGCTTTGGTTTTCGACGCCCTGTTGGTTATCGGCGCCCCTTTGGTTTTTTGGCTCCTTTTGGTTCTCGGTGCCCTTCGATTTTCTGCGCGCCTTTAGTTTTTGGCGATCTTGGTTTTCGACGCCCTGTTGGTTATCGGTGTCCCTTTGGTTTTTCGGCGCCCCGTTTTGTTTTTGGCGCATCGTTGGTTTTCGGCGCTTCTTTAGTTTTCGGCGCCTCTTTGTTTTTTATCGGCGCCCTGTCTGCCTTCGGAGCTACTGTTGTTTTTGGCGGCCCTTTCGTTTTCGGCGCCCCTTTGGTTTTTCGGCGCCCTTTTGGTTTTCCCCGCCCCTTTGGTTTTCAGCGCCTCTTTTGTTTCGGCGCTGGTTTTCGGCGCCCCTTGGGTGCTCGGCGCTCCTTTGGTTTTCGGCGCCCTCTTGGTTTTCGGCGCCCCTTTCTCTCGGTATCCCTTTGGTTTTCGGCGCCCTTTTTGTATCCGGCGCATCGTTGGTTTTCGGCGTTTTTTTTTTTTTTTGTTTCTATCGTTTCCTTAGTTTTCGTGTTTTTGTTTTTTGTTTTCCAGGCACCTTTGGAAGTCGGCGCCCTTTTGGTGTCTGGCGCCCTGTCGGTTTCCGGCGTTCGTTCGGTTCTCGGCGCTCTTGTGTTTTTTCGGCGCCCCTATAAGTTTTCTTTCGGTGCCCTTTTGGTTTTCGGCGCCCCTTTGGTTTTCGGCACCCTTTTGGTTTTCGGCGCGCCCTTCCGGTGTCTGGCGACCCTTCGTTTGTCGGCACCCTAATGGTTTTCGGCGCTCTTTTGGTTTTTGACGTCCTTTTCAAGTTCGGCGACACTTTGGTTTTCGGCGCTGTTGGTTTTCGGCGCCCTTCTGGTTTGTGGCACTGCTCTTTGGTTTTCCGCGTTTTTTGTCTTTTCGGCGCATCTTCTGTTTTCGTTGCCCCCTGGTTTTCGGCGCTTTTTTTGGTTATCGGCGCCTCGTTTGTTTTGGATGTTCTTTACGTTTTCGACGATTTCTGGTTTTCAGCGCTCCTTTGCTTTTCGGCGCTCTTGTGATTTTCAGCGCGTCTTTGGTTTTCGGTTCCCTTTTGGTTGTCTGCGACATTTTGGTTTTCGGCGCCCCTTTGGTGTTCGGCGCTCCGTCGGTTTTCGGCGATCCTTTGATTTTCGGCGCCCTTTTAGTTTTCGGCGCACCTTCGGTTTTCGGAAGGGGGAACAACAGGAGGGGGAGGCTACCACTAGGAGGGTCCAAGGGGGGGGGGAAGCTAAGCCCCGCCCCCCGTGTGGAAAGGGAGGAGGGGGTAGCTTCCGGAGCGCGAAAGGGAAAAGGGGGGGGGGCGCATTTCATTTTGAAGACGAGGGTGCGCGGTGATACGGCGAGACCTGAATTTTCAACGCGACCCTGTCTCCAAGCTTGTAACTGTCGCAAGCTTCCAATACGAATGCGCGCGGCGCTCGGGCTGGAGCCCGATTTTGGAAACGGCCCAGTGCATGCTTGTATCTGGGTCAAGTTCTTGCTCATGTCAAGACGAATGACGAATGCGTGCGGCGTTGAGGGGAGAAGTTGATTCTGAAATTGCCCCTATTCATTTGTGGAGTTGCTGCGAACTTTGAAAACGAATGTGCGTGGGGTTGCGACGAGGCCCCCATTCTGAAAGCGAGCCCCATCCATGCGCATGAGTGTCGCAATGCTGAAAAATGCGTGCGGGGCTCAAGCGAAAGCACCAGATTGAAAGCGACCTTCCTTCAAACCTCTGTGTGGGTGATGCAAACGTTTAAGCCGAGTGTGCGCGACGCGAAGGCGATAGCTCCATTTTGAGTTCTGCCCGCCCTGCCTACACGTCTGGCGATCAGGCGATGAGGATCTGTCTATGAGGTAAGGAGCAGGGATCGGGGGCAAGGAGGAGGAAGGGATGGAGGAGGAGGAGGAGGAGGAGGAGGAGGAGGAGGAGGAGGAGGAGGAGGAGGAGGAGGGAGAGGGCAGGGTCAAGTCGCATAGGAAGCGAATTCAAAAAAGGTAGCAGCAGCCGGCGGCATCGGACGGTGGGGGAGTGCTTTGCGAGCAATGCAGAAGCACTTGGCCCCGCGCCACCGTGTGGAACGTGCCTAGGGCGACTAGGGGACCGAAGCGCCCAGATTGCGGAGAGACCCACGAGTGTACAAGAGTTTCGGAGGAAGGTGCCGCACTGGGCGTGGCCATGATGATTAGAGGGATGAGTGAAGAGGAAGATGGACGCAACAGCTGTGCAGCTCATGTTCGTGCGACGAAATATGAGGAGGCGGAGGAGGAAACGGAGGAGGAAAAGGAGAAGGAGGAGGAAGAGGTGGAGGAGGAGGAGCAGCAGGAGGAGGAGAAGGATGAGGAGGAAGTGGAGGGAGAAGGGAGGAGAAGGTGGAGGGAGGAGGGAGGAGGGAGGAGTAGTTGGAGGGAAGGACTAGTAGGAGGAGGGGTGAGAGGATGAAGGAAGTGGACCAGCAGCAGGAAGAGGGGGCTGTGTGTGGAGGGAGGGCGATCGGACCGGCGGTCGTGACGAGGGCGCTCTACTGCGTTTTCGGGTAACCTGTGCTGCCCTCGCGCGCGCCCTCCCTGCGATGGCCAGGGTTCGAAGAAGGACAAACCACATAAACATAAACTTTGCGCTCCGCGCGCCAGGGAGGGGGTCCAGCGCAGATCCAAGAAATCCGCGCGGAGCGCCAAAAGTTTACATTTATGTTTTTTTTCTTCTTCGAAGGGTGGGGGAGCGACGGGAAGACGACCCGCTCCCCCCACTGGCGGCTCGCCCTGGCGAGCACCCGCCTCTGAAGTGCGTGGACGCCGAGGCTGGGCGCGTCGGCCGGCGACCCTGGCAGCGATGCGCAGGGGTCGCGCCCATCCAGGGCGACAGGCTTCCTCATCCTCCCCTTTCCTCCTCCTCCCCTCTCCTCCTCCTCCTCCTCCTCCTCCTCCTCCTCCTCCTCCTCCTCCTCCTCCCCTTTCCTTCCTCTCCTCCTCCTCCTCCCTCCTCTCCTCCTCCTCCTCCTCCTCCTCCTCCTCCTCCTCCTCCTCCTCCTCCTCCCCTCTCCTCCTCCTTTCTACTCTTGAGTCGGGTCTTCCCCTCTACGGGGGGAATCTTCAAACATAGGAAACAGCTAGTCCGGGGAAGATTTGTTTCACCATTTTTGAATATTATTTGATTATTTGGTATTTTAGGTGTTTCGTCCAATGTCCGCCTGTAGGGGGACATGCCCGACCTAATTCCACTCGGCGCAAACTGCTGACAACCCACTCCTCGAGTGGATCGTGAGTAGGATGTGATATATGGGGAAATGCTCTCCCTCCTTTGTTTCCCCGTCATGCCTTCCTTTAGACATGCACCTAAGTAGACCCCCTTTTGCAGTCAAGCCGGTATCTTGCCGGGCTGCGCCACCATGGCCAGCGCAGCCGTCGTAGTGCGTCATGACGCGGGTCAGGGAGCACCGCTTAGTGAAAACAGCTTCCTTCCCAAGGGCCATCCCGGCCGATCTGTGGGGACCCCGCGTTTGTGCTCTAGTCCTGCCGTTTGCCCCCCTCCCCCCCTTCCCCTGCGATCTTCTTGCTCGTTTTTCCCGCACGGTGTGCACATTGCCCGCCCCCGCCCGAGAGGGAGGAGGAGAGGAGGAGGAGGAGGAGGAAGAGGAGGAGGAGGATGAGGAGGAAGAGGAGGAGGAGGAGGAGGAGGAGGAGGATGAGGATGAGGAGGAGGAGGAGGAGGAGGAACAGGAGGAGGAGCATTCATCAACGATGTTGGAACCAACCCTCCTTCCGAGCTCCCTCTTCTTAGGCCCCGACAGGGACCCTTTTTCCATTTGGGAAACTGCCACGTTGGGAGGCAATTGTTGGAAGATCCTGAGGAGCGCCGAAACACAATTCTCGGGACGCTAACGTCACGTCGCGCGTGGGCGATCCTGAATCGTGCCAGAACACCATTCTTGGGACTTCAGCGCCGCGAGTCAACGTAACTGCTGCGCCCTGGCAGTCCTGCTTCGCTCCGAACCATCATTCTTGGTACAGAGACCATGCGACCCCGCGAAACTTTTGCAAATCCTTCGGACGAGTGTGCGCGGCGCTATGGCGAGCGCCAAATGCTGCAGCACAGCTCACGCTGACTGCAGGTGGCACACGCTCCATCACTGTTGCAAGATGGGCCGTCGGGGCGAGGAGTGGGCGGAGCAGTACTCCTCGCAGCTGCAGCCCTGAGCTGTCGCAGAAGTGTGAATCGCTCGCCAAATCTGCAGGACGAGTGCGCGCGGCGCTACAGGCGAGAGAGCCACATGCTCGGAGAACGGCCCTCCCTCCATCCGTGAGGCTCCTGCTCTTGTTGTTCAAGACGGCTGTGCGCGGCGCCGGAGCGTGAACCATGTTTGGAAGACGGCCCGCCCTCGGTGTCGTTTCACCGACCCCCACCCCCCCATCCTCGTCTCCTTCGAGGCCCCCACCAATTTACCACCCCCAGTTGGGGATACACCCCTCGAGACCCGAAGGGATCGGCCCATATGCCCATCTTGGGGGGGTAAGTCGGCCAGCGGGGCCCAGGCCACGCGGCTGGGGATGGGGATCGGTTAAACGATGCTCACGCCCCCAATTGTTTTCTTGTTTGGGGGGGGCAACCTTTTGCAACGAGTGTGCGCGGCGCTAAGGCGAGAGGTTTACAGTTTGGAAGCGGCCCGCCCTCCATTTGCGAAGCTGCTGCCATGTTTGAAGCATCCGGATACGTTGTAAATAAGTGTCAGGCTAGAACCGCCCGACCCGCCCTTCCGATTGGTCTCGGGATGACCGGGAGGAGGTATCTATAAGGAAAAGGAATGGAGGAGGAGCAGAAGGAGGAGGAGGAGCAGGAGCAGGAGAAGTAGGAGGAGCAGGAACAGGAGCAGGAGCAGGTGCAGGAGCAGGAGGAGGAGGAGGAGGAGGAGGAGGAGGGGGACACATCAACTCTCGCAGTAATTAAAAGGGCGCCGGGTGTGCGCGGGACCGAACCACCTCTCGCAGTACCCAAATGTGTGTTCGTCTTGTTTTTTTTCCAAACAGTGCTTCCGCCTTACTTCTCTGGTGAAGTGGAGAAGTTCAAACACCAAAACAATAGATACATAATCATACTTTCTCGGAGGTCTGCGCGGATGTTTTGGATCGGCGTTGCCCCCCCCCCTGACGGCGCCTCTGGCGTCACGCGCTCAACGCGCCAGGGAGGGGCCCAGCGCCGATCCAAGAGATCCGCGCGGACCTCAGAGAACTCATGCTTGTGCAGTCTGTCCGTGTTCCTGCGAAGGCGGAGGGTGGAATCCCCGAACCCCCAGAGAGCCCTGGCGCGCCAGGCGCTTCGCGCACTGCCTGAAGAGGGCGGCGGTGCAGAACCTGCAGCAGGCGGGCCGCCCCGCGCGCGGTCGGGCGGGGGGCCGCAGCGTGGCAGCGTCCACGGGAAGGAGGAACTGCGGCCTGAGCTCAGTCGGATTCGTCCTGCCACATCAGTGCGTGGCTGCCACGCGCCATGCGCCACAAGATGAGCCACCGTCCAGGTGCCCCCCTTCATCGCCCCCCACGGTAGGGGACTGCCCCCGCCGCCCTGTCGGCTTCACTGGGCGACGCCGCCGGTACCTTTCCCCCGGACGCCCCGCCCGAGGGCTGGGTCTCTCCCTGCCCGGGCAGCGGGAACCCCCGCGAGCCAACCGCTGGCCCGAGGGTAGCGCGCTGCCGCTCCGTGCTTGCCCTCAGCGCTGCGTGTGGTGCAGCCCGACGCCGCCGCCGCTGCCTCGCCGGTGGGTTTTCTGCAGGCGGGGCGTCCTCCTCCCTGTTCGCTTTTCCCTCCGCGTTCGCTGTCCCTCCCTCGCACGCCGCCATGGCGCTGGGTGGCTGCCTGCCGCCGCCACGCTGGAGCCCGGGCTGGTCTTGCCGCCCGCCGCCTCTGCCGACCAAGCACTTTGCTGGGCACACGCCACCCGCGACCACCCCTGGGGACGCGTTGGCCGCCTGGTGTCACAGGCCCCTGATTGCATCGCACCCTTGACCCGCTGGACTCGTTCTGGTACCTGTGCTGCGCCCCGCCGTCGCTGGAACCCCGGCGCAGCAGCCGCCGCTGTCCCTGCCAGCGGGAGCGGCCCTCGCCTTGCTCCCCCGTGCCCTTCGGCCGTTCGCCTTCCCCGTTTTCCATTCGCGCATTGTGGCACAATTCGCTACAACGGTGGCCCCGTTTAGTTAGCCCTTCCGTCAGCGCAGTTAGCCGCTGGCGCAAAACATGTGTGCGTGACTTCGTGGAACTCCCTCCTCTCGTCCTCCTAGAGTCGCCTACTTTCGTCCCCTGCGCTCAGACGCCGCTCGCCGCTTGAATCTCTCTGTGGTCTGCTCGGTGTGGCGTCTGGACTATCAATTCTCGAGCCGTCGCTCCACGCCGTGCGATCCTCCAAGGAGCTGCAACAAGTGTTTGGGCCCCCCGTCTTGAGGATTAGTAGCGACGCCCCTCATTCCTAGATCTCCGACGGCATGACTTTTTCAATCCCGGACGCTGTTCTCTACTTTCCGGCCCTTGGGGCCCGTCGGGGCTATCAAGAATGAGCCCGGGGCGAAACTCCCCTAGGGGAAGTGGTCGGGACTCACGGGGCCGCGCGTTGAAAAACTGCCACTCGTCGGATGTTTGGGGTCCTTGTCTTCCCCAACCTCTTTCCGTATTCCTCCTCCTGGGTGTTTTCAACGCTTTCGATCAGGATTCGGAGGTAAGAAGCGCGCCCCCCACTCCAGTCGACAAGTCGACAAGTTGACCGAGAGCGAGCTGGACGGAGTGCAGAGGTTTGGCAATAGACGGAGGCCAATGAAAACGGCGGTCAGCCAGAGTGTCAGATCTTGCGGGGTTCTGCAGAGCCCGGGGTGCTTTGACCGGGGCTTGCGTGCGGGATCTTGCAGCATCTTGCAGGATCTTTCAGGATTCTGCAGGATCCTGCAAAGCCCGACTGACCCGGGTTTACATTGACCCGGGTCAGTAGATCCCCGATGTCCATTATTGTGCACTTGTCTGGCCTGCCCCGAAGTTTCACGACTCCGCGCAGTGGTACAGACGCAGACATGCGGTGTGCGGTGTCTTGATTTTGCACTGCGGGCTCCCCCGAGGTCCCGATAGTGCTTCCCCAGGGCCAGTGTTTCAGCCCGAGTCGTTAGTTTTTTGTTGGTCCAGGGCCTTGCGAGGGCCCCCCAGAGGCCGAAGATGAGCCACCACCTCTTTGTCGGACGGGGCCAGGGCGGCCAGAACGAGAATCAGTCCGATCCGGAACGCTCTGCTCTGAGTAAGCCGCGGTGCCCGAGACATCCTCCATGGCAGCGGGATCTCAGAGATTCTCGATGTACCCTCACCCGATTTTAGTATCGTCTTGGCTTCGTCTTACAGAGTGATTTTGTGCACGACGCGGTCCTGTCTGGGTACTCCCTCCCTTCGGCCCAGCCTCCTTCCCGTCCTCCGCCCTGCCAGCCTCCCCGCCCTGCCTACTGGCCGGCCTCCTCATCCTGCCTCCCCTGGCCTCCCTGTGCTGTCTCCCCCCTGTCTTGCCTCCCTCTGGGCCTTCCAGATGGGGTCGGAGTAGAGTCAAGTAAGGATGAGCGACTATCCCAGGTCACCAATTGCATCCTTCCCCTTCGGCCCCTCCGTGGCCGCTTTCGCCGGCCGCGCCACGCTCGCACAGTGTCGACATGGCCTTCCGAGGCCCTTGCATCCGTATCGTGCGTCCTTGCTATACGTGCCGACTGTAGGTGGGGCCGGGGGATTCCACCGCATCGCCGATGCATCGGCGATGCGGCTCGATGTGGAGCCCGATGTTCTCCACGCCGACGTCGCCGATGCATCGCCGATGTATCACCAACTTCATCTGGGAGAGCACTGCTCCCCTGGCTCTCCGTTCTGCCTCCTCCCAGCCTCCCCGTCCTCCTCCCCTCCCTGAGATCCAACGGCGCGAGGCAATCGAGTCGTCGCGAAAAGTCACCACCAGAGCTCTAGACCTAAACCTTCTGCGCTAGTTCTCTCGAGCCCGGTCGATCTGCGAGGGCCCTGGGCCCGACACCGGGCGGACACGCCCAGCTCGACAGAGTTGAGACGCCAGGATCTCGAGGTCCCTGTTTCCTCCCTGCCCTCTCCCTGCCTCCTCCCTGGCTCCTCTGGAGACCGTTTTTTTAGGGTCCAGCGATAACCCGGGTTATAGGGCTTGCCCCCCCCTCCCCCCCCCTTAGGACAACCTGGCCTTGCCGGTTGTGCAGGTCCGGGGTGGGGGGGCGCGGGCATCTGCAGGGCTGCCCACAGCGCGAAGGTTAAGTTATCGGCCACCCCCCCTCCTCTTCTTCCCCCCCCCCTCCGCATAACGCGTTATCGCCGATTCAAAAAAACGGTCCTGGCCTCTTGCAGGCTCACGCCTTCGGCCTCCGGGCCACCGTGGGGCTGGCGGAGCTCGTGGCGGCGCTGGCGGGCCGCCCCCCGGGGAGCTGCCCGCGGGAGCGGGGTGGGGCTCCTGGGCAGGAGGAGGTGCCGATCTCGCTGCTCGTGCTGGAGGGTCCCCGGCACCACGGCTGGACCCTCCTCGGGGTGCTGGTCGGGACGCATCCCCTCCAGGTCCTGGCGTTGCGCTCTTTTCACACCGGGCGTGTTCGCCCAGTTTCGGGCCCCGTGGGGCCCTCACAGAGCGATCTGGCTCGAAGCATGGCACAGACAGATGGGATCTGGGGATCCGATGGCGATGTTTCACGATGCCTGTTTTTTTTCGTGCCATTGGATTTCACCACGGCTGGATTCTCTTCAATCCTAGACGTTTCGCGAAACCGCATTGGCCCATGCAGAAACGATGTCCAGGCGATTTGCCCTTATCAGAGACGTGGAGGAGCATGCCGTGGAATAAAGCGCTGGGGAAGCCGTCATAACCCTAAGAGGGGGATGACAGAAGAAGAGGCGGAGGATGAGGAGGAGGAGGACGGACAAGGGGATGGAGGAGGGCGAGGGGGAACTGGTAGGAGGGAGGAGGAGGGGGAGCAGGCGGAGGAGGAAGAGTGTGCGAGCAGAATTTAATGCATATCGGAGTCTCTTCGGATGTTTCCTGGAAGCTCCTGTGAGTCGCCTTGGAGCGTGCTGGAGGTCTCTTGGCGGTCCTGGGGGCCCCTTAGAGCGTCTTGGATGCCTCGGGGGGCCACTTGGGCGCGGCTTGGGGACCCCTTGGAGGCCTCTTGGGGCCTCCTGGGCCATCTTGGAGCCGTCTTGGAGGAGATTGATCAAAAAAAGGGGGGCTCAATTAGGGCCCCCCCAATCAGGCCCCCGAGGAGTCCCAAATGGCCCCGATACCTTCGCGATAGAAGTCAGTAACTTTTGCCTTCTCGCCAAGGCCGTCTTGGACGCTTCACTCGGTCGCGACCCCCCCCTCCAGACACATGGGAGGGGTAGAGGGAGGGGTCAAGCTACCTTCCTAGATAGCAAGCCGTCTAGCTCACTTCCACTCGTCCTCCCAACACATACGTAACACCCGAGTGTCAGCATATCTCTTAGGAGCGCCACACATGCCATGCGCGCCACAAGCTCCGGGTGCACCACGCACCTTTGGAGGCCGAAGCGTGCCAGGCGGGCGAGGTGCGCGACGTGCTCCACGTGCGCCAACTGTGCCACGTGTTCCAGCCGCACCAGGTGTGCCAGATACGGAGAACCAGCAGGGACCCAAGGTGCCTGGGGCCCCAGCCCCCAGGAGTTTAGAATCTAGAGTCCACCTAAAGCGAAGTGCCGAGCATTCTGTGAGAAGGGCGGATCCAGGGAGCGCAAAGCAGTGGCGCCAATGGTCAGAAGCAGGCAGGTTGAGGAGTCGTAGAACAAATGAGAGTTCAGAAAAAAAGAGCGCCCCTCTGGAAGAGTACAAGGAGGATTTCGCCAGCAACGCGCAGCTGGAGAAGCAGGAGCACACGCTCGCTGGACACAGTGTGTCGCCATACCATCCTAATCAACAAGTATGACAGATGGTGCATGGAGCCCCGCCGTCCCCGTCAAACACCAGTGCAGAGTTGTGGCGGGGAGCTTGCTCGTGCTCCAGATTTGGAGGGAACGTGTATTTTGTCTTGGGCTGTTGGCAGGGCTGGTTGGCCTGCGCGCAGCAAGCAGTATGCCGGACCCCCCGCCATCCCTTCCAAAAGCCAGCGCGAAGTGGTCACGGGAGCCCGCGCATGCTCCAGATTTGGAGGCAAAGTGAATTTGGTATGGTTTTTTGACAGTGGATGGTGGGTTGGGCCCTCCTTGGTCCTGGTTGGCTGCCGGTCGCCTGGGGGAGAGGGTCTTTATGATTTATAAGGAGTAGTCATGAACCCCTCCCCGAAGGGGACGAGGGAGGATGGAAGAGGAAACTCGCTAAACGACTTACGCATCGTGAGAATCGGTTCCCGCTGCTGCAATACTTGTACACGATGATGTTATCAGTCCGATGTTCTTCAATGCTGCGCTGGAGGCGGTAGTGCGCTAGTGGAAGGCTCGGCTTGATAATCACGGTATCACTCAGAGCTTAGAGAGCGAACAGTTGACCAACATCAGGCATGCACACGACGTGTTGCTCGTCGCTCAGTCTCGACTACCTCGTGGAAGAGTTGAGCAAAGTAAGTTCGTCTGTCAGCCCACGGAAGACGGACATCTTGACAACAGACGAGCTTCTTTTCTTTCTCGACGACGAGCTCCCGATGATTTCAACATTGCAACTGACGAACTTCCGTTTATTCTCGATGCTGGCGGTGGGATGGTCGAGGCCGTCAAGCGCTCGGACACGCACGAAGCACACATGCATTCGCCAGTTATTGCGCGGCGACTGACGATGCGAGATAAAGGGTAGCTTGGAACATCGGATGCAATGCGTTAGGCCGAAATGCCATCAATTTGCAGCGACGTTTCAGAGCCGCAGCGTTCCGGTCAAATTGAAGCTGCGCCTTTTTTGACTCCGTGATGACAGCGTCTGTCCTCTACAGTCTGGCCACAACACCTCTCATGCAACATGATCTTGACAGGCTGGACACGTTGCAGAGAAAATGTTGCGGCGCCTCGTTGGGTGGGTTCGTTTTGACGACGAAGCATGGTAGTTTACTGACCATCGCATGCAATGCCGGCTGGAAGCGGCATTGGCGCAACAACCCATCGAAAAATGGAACGCCAAACGCTAAGGACAAATATATTCGCCAGTGCAACGAATCAAATACGGACTTGTCTTTCGTGTGCTTGACGACCGTGCTTGGCGCGCCACCGCGGGCGACCTCTGCAGACGTGGACCAGCTGAACCACTCCGTGAAGGTCCCCACGAGCGAGATATCAGAGTTCATTCCAGTTATCCCTCCTCCGCCCCCCCTGCCCTCCTGCCCACCATTTTTCTGCTTCAGCTCCTGCCTGTCTTAGCAGCTGTCGAGGTCAGACGATTGCGGAACTGCCCAGGTGACAGAGGCACGGGCCCACATGTTCCGTCCGAATTCTAGATTGGCATGTCTTTTTGGCCAATTGGGAGTGGCGCAGCGCATCGTAGCCAGAGGACAGGTGGGATTCAGGTTAGAACGCATCTCGGGAGATGTCCACGGAATCACACTGCACATTTGTTCCTCCCCGCGGGCGTGGGGGTGGGGGGGTGGAGGGGGTATCGGTGCGACCGACATGGGCTCGGAAGGAATGGGGACGGATACAGCAGACCCGTGCGTTTTGGCTGATGTTGTTTTCAGTTTTTGAAACCCAGGTTGGTTTCCAACAGCTGCGCCTTTTCGAGGGTGTTCGGGCGTGCCTGCATCATCACAGACGGCCACTGGAGGCCCCAACTGTGACCCGAAGGCCAGGGCGCGGACGGCCAGGGGCAGGGGCAACGTTAGGGGGGGACAGGATCCAGGGGCGACGCATCGACCCCGATAGCCCACCAAACCCAAGGGCGAACGGCTTCGCCATCGGTAGCGTCTTGCCGATCTATCGGCGATGCAGCGCCGATTCCAGTTCAACGTTTTCCCCCTGAGCCGGCCGCCCTCCGTTGTCGTTTCCCCGTTCCCCCTCAAAGTAGAGCCCCCGAGGCAAAAACACTGTTTGAGGGAAGGCCACGCGGCGGGCATCTTCACACTGGCGCCCGAGCGCTGCAACCCAGGTGAGGCAATCCAGCTCCCTCACTACGATCCTTCGGATGTAACTCCTGGGAGGTCAAATTCTGATTTTGCCCTGGTCCGAAGTCTTAATCCCGCTTAATCTGGCTTAATCCCGCTTACTCCGGATTACACTCAATCCGCATAGTAAGGATGGGCAACCTTCCGTACCCTTGCATCTTTGCCTCCTCGGTCCATCCTTCGCCGCTTTCGCTGGCCGCGCCCCGCTCGAAAAGCTTCGAAATGTGCGTCCAAGGCCCTTGCATCCTTATCGCGCATCCTTACTATACTGGTTGACTGTAATCCCGCTGGATCCGAGGCCCACTCTGGCGTAACACCCCCGCAATGGGGCTTAGTCCTCCTGAACCTTTCCGACGAAGACCTCCCAGCAGTTGTCTCCTGATTATGTTTTCTTGCGGTGTTGAGGTGCCTTTCCCTTTCTTCTCTCTCTCACACACACTTTCTCTCATGCGCACACTCATATATATATATATATATATATATATATATATATATATATATCCCCGTGCACGACGCCCGGGCGCCCAGGGCGGCTGCCCCGAGGGGGCATCGGAGTATCGGGGCTCATTTTCCCTATGTTTTTACAAGGTTTCCGCGTCCTGGGCCTCGGAGGCCGCCGCCTCCAACCCCCCGTGGGAGGACGGGGCGGCCGGGGAGGTCCAAAACAGTCCAGGAGGGAGGGCCTCCAGAGGCTCCCAAGACGGCCCAAGCGGGCCCCGAGTCGCCGAAAGACCGCTCCAGGACGCCCAAGATGGGCCCAAGACGGCCCGAGAGGCTCCCCAAGGCACTCCACGACGCTTCAAGACGCCTCTTCAGAGCGCTTCAAGAGGCCGAAATCGTTAATTTTACGCAGGTTTTCGAATGATTTTGGCCTTCCAGCCTTTTCGGCTGTCCGACGTTCCAAGACGGCTCAATAGGCCCCCAAGATTGTGGGCCTATTGAGCCGTCTTGGAACGTCGGACAGCCGAAAAGGCTGGAAGGGGCCCAAGAGGGCCCCAAGACGGCCCCGGAGTCGCCCAAGACAGCCCAACAGAGCCCCAAGACGGCCCTAAGATGCGCTCAAGAGGGGCACCACGGCTCCAAAATTCGACCCTCCCGATTGAAGAGTGCCCCAGGAGGCCCCAAGGAGCCCCCAAGAGGCCCCAGGAGGCCCCCAAGAGGCACCCAGGAGGCCCAAAGGAAGCCTAAAGAGGCCACAAAACAGCCCTGAGGAGGCCCCACAACGGTCCCAAGACGGCTACCGAGAAGCTGCGAAATTGCCTTCACGACGTCCCCGACCCATGAGGCCTCTGACCCACCACCCAGGGCACTGTGGCGGGAGCAGTGACAGCACTTGTGCACAGCATGTTCCGGCGGGAGCCTTCCGGAACACGCTGCAGGAGGAGGAGGAAGATCAGGAGGAGAGAGAGCTGGAGTGGGAGGAGGAGGAGGGGACGAGGAGGAAGAGGCCTCCAAGACAGCTCCAAGATAGCCGAGGAGGCTTCCAAGAGGGCCCTGGGCGGCCCTCGAGGGCCCCAAGGCGGTGCCTGAGGCGCCCAAGAAGGCTTGAGAGGGCCCCAAGACGGTCCCAAGAGAGGCCCAAGAAGGGAAACACGAACTGAGAATCCGAGCTTTCTACCCCGAGAGGTTCTCGGGAAGTCCCAAGAGGCCCCCAAATCGGATCCAAGAGGCCCCCAAGAAGTTCCCAAGAGGGCCGACGAGGTTCCAAGAGATCTCCCAAGGTGGCCCCAAGAGGCACAGCTCATTGTTTTACGATTGGGCTTTGACGGGTTTAGTTTTTTTTTGCCTTTTGGTATCCCGATGCTCCAAGACGGCCCAAGAGGCTTCCAATACCGCTCCAATTTAGAGGAGGCCTCCAAGAGGACCGCAAGACTGCCCGCGAGGGCCCCAAGGCGGTGCTTGAGGCGCCCAAGACGGCCTGAGAGGGCCCCAAGAGCCCCAAGAGGCCCAAGAAGGGGAAGGCGACCCAACAGCAGAGCGTTCCCCCCAAAAGGCCCACAGGAGGCCGCAAGAGGACCCCAGAAGCTTCCCGAGGGCCCAAAAGGCCCCTAGGAGACGTCCAAGAGGTTTTAAAATAGCCCAAGAGTGCCCTCGATGCGTCAAAACTGCTTCCAGGAGGCCCGCGGGAGGCTTCCGGATTGCCTCAATCTGGCCGCAGGTGGCCTCAAGTCGGGCCTCCACGCAGCCAAGACGGCCAATGACGGCTTCAGATTGCAGAACCGATGCCCCCAAGGGACCCTCAGACGCCCCCCCAAGAGGCACCCAAGAGGTGCCTCCAACAGCCAGTTGACGAAGCATGCGGAACACCCCAGAAGCTCCTCAGATGCCGTCGCGCGCCTGTGCTTGACAGCGTTGTCCAAGATCGTCCAGCGCCCCCCCGGCCTGGGCTAGAACCTGAGCGCGCGCGCGAAGCGCGCGCGATGGTTCTAGTGTATATATATATATATTTATATGTGTATATATATATATATGTATGTAGATGCCCCCTTCCTTCTTTCTATATCTCACTTTTGTGTCATTGTCCCTGCCCATTTCTATATACGTGTGTCTTTCTATGTATTTGCTATATATATATATATCATATATCTCTCTCTATCTCTCTTGCTCTCTCCTACATACAGGTGTATCTGAGTATCACCCCCTCTCTCCCTCTCTTCCTGATTTTTTTTTCGTCCTTCCCCGCCTTCCCTCTCTCTCTCTCTTGTCCCGCCGCCGGTCGCCCTTCTCCACCCTGTCGTTTTGCTCCGCCCCCCCCCTTGCCCGGCCTCCTCTGCATGCCTGGGCGCGGCTCTCGCTCGCTCGCCTCTGCCTTTGTGTCTCTCGAAGGGGCGGTTGCCAAAATCGTCTTTCGCGCTTCCCTATGCGGCCCGGTTTGTGAAAGGGCGTGCATCACACGGCCTCCCTGTGGTAAGAGAGGCCATCTTTGACGTTGCAGCGTGTTTCTTTACTGCTTGGGCCATAGCGCGCGTTATGGCCCCCCCTCCCCATTAACGTAACGCTCCCCTCCCATGGTGCCCCCCTCCCCGGCAATGCCGCCGTGCACATGGGGCTCCGCAAAGGGAGCCGAATAGGGATCCGCATAGGCATCCGCATAGAATCCCGTAGGGATCCACCCGGGATCCGCAAAGGGATCTGCATAGGGATCCGCATTGGGTTTCCCATGAGGATCTGCATACGGATTCGCATAGGGTTCGGCATAGAGATCCGCAAAGGAATCTGCATAGGGATCCGCATACAGATCCGCATGGCACTTCGCATAGGGATCTGCATACGGATCCGCACAGGGATCCTCCGTAGGAAACCGCATATGGGTCCGCATAGGGATCCCAGTAAGGATCCGCAAAGGGATCTGCACAGGCATCTCCATATGGATCCGCATAGGCATCCCAAAAGGGATCCGAATAGGGATCCGCGGTGGTCGTGGGCAAGTTGCGGTGCTCTCAGGCACGTGTGGTGTTCGTCAGAGAAGGAAGAACAGCAGGAGAAGGACGACGACGACGAGGAAAGAGGAGGGACGGAAAGAGCATACCTCTTATACGCCACGTTGAGGGAGCGACGCCTTCGCAGGCATGTGCTAGCCACAACTCGCCTTTGCTAATCGTCGCTCTTCGTCGTCGGCGTCGTCGCCCGTCGTCGCTCGTCGTCGCTCGTCGTCGTTGTCGTCGTCGTCTTCGTTGTCGTCGTCGTCGCTGTCGTCGCTCGTCGTCGCTCGTCTTCTCTCGTCGTCGTTGAACGCCGTCGAAGACCTTCGAGAGCCTCCAGAGGCCTCCGGAGGCCTTCGGAGGACCTCCAGAGAGCCTCTGGAGACCTCCAGAGGCTTCAGGAGGGTTCTGGAGGCCTCGGGAGACCTCCAGACCTCAGCAGTTCCGGAGAACTCCAGAGGCGTCGCTCGTCGTCGTCGCCGTCGCTGTCGCCGTCGCCGTCGCCGTCGCCGTCGCCGTCGCCGTCGCCGTCGCCGTCGCCGTCGCCGTCGCCGTCGCCGTCGCCGTCGCCGTCGCCGTCGTCGTCGCCGTTGCCGTCGCCGTCGCCGTCGCCGTCGCCGTCGCCGTCGCCGTCGCCGTCGTCGTCGTCGTCGTCGTCGTCGTCGTCGTCGTCGTCGTCGTCGTCGTGCGTGCGGACGCTGCGGTGGTGCCAGAACCACACTGCCAGGGGGGGGAGGCGTTACGTTATGCCCCCCCCCGCCTTCCCCCATAACGCCCGTTATCGCCCGCCGCGAACAAGAAGAAGCGAGCTCTTGAACTCGGCCAGCGCGCCCATGCCCACTGCCTGCGCCCTCCTCCCTCTCCCTTCTCCCCTCTCCCCGTCGCACCCCTCCCCCCCTCGCGCCCCCTCCTCCTCCTCTGCGCTCCGCCCCCCTCGCGCGCGCCCCCCCCCCCTCCCTCCCCTCACGGGCACGGGCGTGCCACTCAGCGGGGTGCGCCCGCCTCTCGCGCTCGCCCCCGCTCGCTCCCCCCCGCCTCGGCCCCGCTCCCCGCCCCTCGTCCGCTCCTCCCCTCTGCCTCCTCGCTGCCCGGCCCGCTGCGCGAGCGCAGGTGGCGGCGCCCAGCGTCAAAGTGCCGCTGGCAGCTCGACGATTGCCCCCCTGCGTCTCCAAGATTTGCCTCGTGCCTCCAGGGCTTCTGGCGGACGCCGACCGTGCATCCTCACCAATCCTGCCCGGGCCAGTCTTGGGCCCAGGACTGGTGTAAATTACGCGTGCTCCCTCCAGTGCCTAGCCATGAAGGCGTGTACGTGCGCCGATCTTGGGCCCAGGATGGGCCTGGGCAATGGGCAAGGTCGGTGTCGGTGCATAGTTCGTGCTCTCCTCGTCCTCCTTCCGTCGACGGCTCCCCGACTTCCTCTTGTGCACCTTCGTTCTCTTGGGTTGCCGCGCATTGTCGCGGATTATTTCAAGCTGGGGCTGAAACCAATGACATTCTCGGGTTCAACGGTCGCACCAGGGTAGTGGTTTGTGGAGTCGTCTAGCCGATCGCCGAAGCCAAAGCCGTCCACGGTATTTCACGAAGTGCAGGTTGTTTGTGTTTTGCCGCACCGCTTTCTGCTCTCGTCTCGATGAGCAGAGTCCGTAGCACATGGAATTTGAATGCGCAACGGAGTGAACGCCTATCCTCACGTTTCTTGCCGAGCCATTGTGCAAATCATGGGAATTCTCTTGGTCGAACGGCCAGAAGGTGGAAGCCCGTGGCGGGAGGTTGTGTGAGTGAGTATACGTGCGCGTCTCTGGTAGCGTTCGTGGCTCTGCCTCTGCTTCTCCTGGGTTCCTGCTGGCTATGCCCTGTTTGCGGACCTGGTTGCGTCAACGCGCGTCTTCCTTTCCTTCGTCTCCGCGCTGCTTCGCAGTGAACTTGAGATGTGATTCGCTTGGCCCGTGATCATGCTTCCGTAGTTAGAACTCATCCGCGCATCGGAGGAATAATACATGTATTCGTGCGCGTACTTGCGATCCTGCCCAACGCCGACAGTACCTTGATCAATAGTTTGTGAGTGTGGTGCGCAGGGCTGAAGTTGAACGGCAGGAGCCAGAAGGCAGTCTCTGCAGAGCGCACATCGGGCCAGCGAGCACGCAGCCCCATCGCCGACTCTCCCGCGTCGCTCGGCAGGAGGCGGGCGCCGTGGTCGGGCCGGGATCGGGGCCGCCTCGCAGAGCTCGGCGCCTGGCGGCTCGGGCGGCCCGGCCCGAGACCGCCCCGCCACCCGCCGCGCTCTCGGAAAGCGGCGGTGGACAGGCCTCCCTCCGCCCTGGGCATGCCTCCTCCTCTGCTATAGGGGGGGCCACATGCGCACCCTGCCCCTGCCCCCCACGTTTTCTGAGGGGGAAGGTCGGGTTCACTTCGCTCGGGAGCTCCCGAACGAAGTGAACCCCACCCTCCCCCTCAGAAACCGTGGGGGGTAGGGGTAGGGTTCGCATGTGGCTCCCGGCTCCTCGGCGCCTCTGCGGCGCAGCAGCGAGACGACGTTGGCCCGGCAGTGCCCCCGGCGTGCTGTCTGGTGGCGGCGGGGGGGAGGAGGCGGGCGCCCACATCGCAGAGCGGGGATTTCGTTCGGAAGACGACAGAATGGGCCCGGAGTGTCCTGGAGAATGTCGTTCCAGATTTCGAGGTGGATTTCGTGCGGATTGTTGGGCCAGGAGTGGAAACGCAAAACACATCCATGCGACAGTTCACAGTTTTGCACGCCGTGTCGGGGCTTTGCACCGACAGGAGCCCACGCACAAATCCGCCGCAGCACCTCTGCAAGGTCGGTGCGGTGAGGAGCAGAGCGGCGTGGAAGCTCAGCTGGCCAAGCGCTGTCGGCCTCCCTCCCGCCGCTCCTGCTCCTCCTCCTCCTCCTCCTCCTCCTCCTCCTCCTCCTCCTCCTCCTCCTCCCTCTCTCCCTCCTCCCCCCCCCCCAGCCCCGACCCCCGAGACCCGGACGCCGTGGACTCTCCCACTCCGTGGGCTCCCCGAGGTCTGGGCCCTCGCCCTGGGACCGGTCTTCGCACCCGAGCAGCGTTTGCTCGCCACAGGGCCGGTCGATCCCGAGGCACACCGTGTCAGGGTCCTGGGGGTCGGAGATGTATCCCCAGACCTGCTCTGAGGTGCTGCCTGGTCGGAACCTCGAGGCGGATCCAGCCGTGGCGACGAGGAGCCCTCTGGAGGTCCACAAGGCTCCCCTGCAGGCCGATGACACAAACAGGCAATTTCCGTCTCGCGGTGATTTTGTCCACGCCGCGAGGGGAGAGCATGCTGCTTCGCATGGCCCTTCAGTGGATCAGCCTTCTGTGCTGACGTAGAAGCTATGACTGCTGTTTCGGTGTGGGCCCCGAGATCGCTCGGCGACTACAAAGAGTGCGGTTACGCCTGGCTGTCGTTTTCGACCGGCGCGGTTGGGGCCTGGGGGGCACCATGCTGCCCTCGTCGGGCCTCCGCGGGGCGCGGTGAAGAACTCTGCCGAGGTCCGCGCGCGCCCCCCAGGGTTGAGTATCGTTTAACCGATCCCCATCCCCAGCGGCGTGGCCTGGGCCCCACTGGCCGATTTACTCCCCTAGATGGGGGTATGGGTCGTTTCCTTCGGGTTTCGAGGGGTATAGCCCCAGCTGGGGGGTCATGTGGGGGCCTCGAAGGGGATGGGGATGGGGATGGGGATCGGTTAAACGATACCGAAGGGTGCGGGTTGCAAACCGCACCCTTTGCAGATCAAGTCGGGCCTGTTCCTCTACATGGGGAATATTCAAAAATAGTTTAGTTTGGGGGTCGATTTTTGACGATTTTTGGCAATTGTTGAGTTTATCTTGATTTTTTTACTGTTCGTCGAGACTTTGCTTGTAGGGGGACAGGCCCGACCTAACCTCAGGAGTCGCCGACTCGCCGCGCAGGCCGTGCTGCGCTTCGTGAAGTTCGGCGAGGCGGCGCCTGGCGGCGGCCCGCCGGGCGGCGTCCTGGGGCTGCTGCTCAGGCGGCGCGCGCGCGCCCCGCGGATCGTGCTGGGCGTCCGCGTGCAGGTCTGGGGGGCCAGCGGGTGCGCGGGGATCTGCAAGCAGTGGCGCTTGAAGTGGGGCCTGTCCCTCTACAGGGGGGGAAAGTCAAAAATAGTCAACGAATAGTCCAGGGTCGTTTCTTTTTTCTTTGTCATTTTTTTTGTTTGTGTTTTGACTATTTTCGGGTATTTTTGATCTTTCGTCAACAAACCGCCTGACATGCCCGACCTAAGCGTAGCTCTGGGCTTCCCAGATGGAGTCCGAGTAGATGTGGTCGAAGGATCGCTCCACATCGCCGATGCATCGGCGATGCATAGCGTGGCATGGCGTCCTGGCCTGCCTTGTGACCCAACAGAGATTGTTCTAAGAACCTTTTGTGGTTTGCACGAGAAGCTCTGAGAACATTTCTTGCAGAGACCGTCTTGCTTTAAGGCATCGGCTGCATGTTCGAAGAGCAGTGCTTTTGTTATTCGAGCATCTCTCTTGTTTACGGAGAAATCGTGGTTGGCCTATAGGGATGTCTGGACGGTCGGTCCCTGCTCAAGGTATGGTCGTTCTTCAGATGATATTCAAGAGTCCTGATGGCAGACAGGAGTCTACGGAGCATGGTACAATTTCGCAGGATCTTGGATTGCGTTTGAACCTGACTTCGCACAGAATGAAGTATAACACGCGAGGGCTGCGGCTCACGCGCCTTGCCCCGTGCGGGTCGGCCCTCTTGGCCGGACACGGCGCGCCTGGCCTCGCCTCGCCCCGCTGCGCGGGGAGGAGAGGCCTCAGGGGCCATCGTCGAGGGGGGATTTGTTCAGGGGGGAGTTTGCGACGGGCTTCGGGAGTACTTCGGCGGTTCTCGAGACCCTGGACGGTTTCCATCAGTTGCGCCTCGTCGAGAGCGTTCCAGGGGTACCGGGGTCTTCCCGAACGGCCGCCAAAGACCCGAGTTATGGCCAGAAAACAGGACCAGCGTCCCGCTGGCCCCCAAGGCGGGGGTCGCAAAGATATCAGAGGTCGCCAATTACACGCCTCATGTGCAGCGCTAGGAGGAAATAGTTTCAGGGGTGACGCATCGACCCCGAACCGCCCACCCATCGCCGATAGGGGCCCCGATTCGCTATCGGACGCCTATCGTCGATCTATCGGCGATGTATCGCCGATTCCAGCTCGATTTTCTTCCCGCCCCCCCTGTTACCTTTGCCCCTCCCCCCCAGGCGGTGCACTGTGGCCTTCGGGCGGCGGTGATAAGCGACTCAGCACGACGAGCTTCTCGCGGGGGATGGTCATAAGGGGCCCAGGCCCCGTTTCCCTCAAAACCCCTTCCCAAACATCTGACCTTTTCCCAGGCTCCTTTTCTTAGCCGAGCTCCTAGGCGGTCCTCCGCCTGTAGCGTCAACCCCAGGCTCCTCCTCCTCCTCCTCCTCCGCCTCCGCCTCTTTTTTTTTTCTTAGCCAGGCCGCCAAGCGATCACGCTGAACGCCTCCGCCTCCTCCTCCTCCTCCGCCTCCGCCTCCGCCTCCGCCTCCGCCTCCGCCTCCTTGTCATCCCGAGCCCTTGCCCTGGGCCCGTCAATGGTCCCCAGTGACCGATCATTGCCGAAGACCTCACGTCGTGATGTCTTCACGACTTCGGGATGTCAGGGCCCCGGATTCAAAATCTATTCCTGGACATGTTCTGGGGTGCGTTCTGGTCAGAGTTTCAAGGCGGATCCAGTCGTAGCGACGAGGAGGCCAGTGGAGGCGCCACGAATCTTCCCAGTGGCCTTATCATCAAAAAGAACTCCCGCCCCGCAGTGCTGTTGTTCACGACGGACAGGGAGAGCATGCTGCTTCGCATGTGCTTGATGCCAAGGAAGAAAACGCCGTCCCGTTGTGATGTTCCTCGCGACGAAGTGTGAGGTCAGGGATCCTACGCCTGCCGACGGGAGGCCAGCCCGGCGCGCAGAGGTGTTCACGTCGAGGTTGCACCACTGACGGGCCCGGCAGGGGCCGCGGGCCCTTGGAGACCGAAAATTGCCCCAAAAACATCCGATCGTTATTTCTTCACGACGCAAGGCGGTCTGGGCTTGCATGTATTAGGCGCAGGAGGAAGAGTTATCCATGCCGTTGTCCTTCCCGCGTTTAACCTTTTTTGGGGCCTCTTAGGAGGCTCTTGTCGCCACCGCTGGCCTCCCCGCGAACTTTTTGTCCGAACGCCCCCAAGGAGAGGTCAGGGGTGTAGCGGTGTCGGTATTTCTTGGTTCCCCAATGTTAGGTCGTGCATGTCCCCCTACAGGCGGATTTTGAGCGACAAATAACGAATAGTCGAACATATTCAAAAATTGCCAAAACATACAAATCGTGCCCAACTTATGTTTGCATGCTCCTCTTGTAGAGGGACACACCCGACTTAACCCCAACGAAGGCCCAGTCAGCTGACCCTCTCCCCGCCGATGTCTTGTGCAGTTGGGGGGTCTTCCTACGGGGTCCGTGCGCAAGCCCTGGTGTGCGTCTCTGTCCCTCCTCCCGACTCTTCAGTCGGGCCTGGCCACGAAGGGCTGCAACGGGGCCGCGAAGGGCAGCGAGGGGGCAACGAAGGGCTGCAACGGGGGCACGAAGGGCAGCGAGGGGGTCACGAAGGGCTGCAACGGGGCCTCCCTCTACAGGAGGCATAGTCAGAAATATTCGAAAACATTGTATGGGACGACTTTTTTGAATATTGTTGGGCATTTTTGGCATACTTTTGGAGTATTTTTATTTCTCGCCCAAAATCCGCTTGTAGAGGGATATGCCCGACCCAACCCGACCCCTCAGAGTGCGCAGGCGACATATGGGGCGACTTCGAACTCTCGTTGGCGACTTCTTGGTCCCCGACGCTGCTGCAGCAGCTGCCCGCGCAAGGCTCGTCCGGCGCGCCGGAGGGAGATCCGACCCCCGAGGCACCTGTCGGAGTCGCTGCTCCGGCGGGCCGTGGACGCGGAGGCGGCCGCCGAGGCGTTCGGTGCGCTGAGGAGGCGCCCGTGGGGCAGGTCGGGTTCGGAAGGGGCACTTGCCCTCGCCGTCGTCCTTGTCGTCATCGTCGTCAGCGTAGTGGTCGTCTTCGCCCTCGCCGTCGCCGTCGCCGTCGCCGTCCTCCTCCTCCTCCTCCTCCTCCTCCTCCTCCTCCTCGTCGTCAACGTCGCCGTCGCCGTCGTTGTCGTCGTTGTCGTCGTCGTCGTCGTCGTCGTCGTCGTCGTCGTCGTCGTCGTCATCAACGCAGTGAGGCCTCCGAGATGGGGCCCGAGTGGATGGGGTCGGAGGATCGCGCCGTATCGCCGATGCATCGCCGATGCGGCTCGATGCGGAGCCCGATTTTCTCCACGCCGACGTCGCCAATGGGTCGCCGACGTCACCAGTGCATGGTTGATGCATCGCCGATGCGGCGCGATCCTCCGACCCCATCTTCTCGGACCCCATTTGAGAGGCCTTTATCCTTGGCGTCATCCTTGGTTGTTCCTCTGGCGCTCATCGTGCATCCAGGCGTCTCGGGGCCAGAAATGATGTTTGCTCCTTATAGAGAAGGCCTTACAGCTGGTGTCGCCGACCCTGAAGACGACGACGACGACAATGATGAGGACAAGGAGGAGGGGGGGAGGAGGGGGCAGCAGGAGGAGGTAGGAGGATGAGGAGGAGTTGGTGGTGGGGGAGGGAGAGGTGGAGGAGGGTGAAGAGCAGGAGCAAGGGTTGGGGAAGCATGACGCGGAGGCGAGGAAGACGAGGAGACGGAGCAGGATAATGATGCGTGAGGAGGACGAAAGGGATGGGAGTTGGAGGAGAACGGAAAGGAAGACGACGGCGAGGAGAGAGAGAGAGAGAGAGAGAGGATGAGGAGAGGGAGGGGGAGAAGGAGGAGGAGGGCGAGGAGCAGGAACGGGAGGAGGAGGAGGTTGAAGGGGGGAGGCAAAGCACGAGGGGGAAGTGCAGGGAGAGGAGAAGGATCAGCATGAAGAGAAGGAAGACGAGGATGCTCATGATGCTGCTGCTGATGATGTTGATGATGATGATGCGGATGCTGATGATGATAACGATGCTATTGATGATGATACTGATGATGCTGATGATGGGTATAATGGTGCTGCTGCTGCTGCTGCTGCTGATGATGATGATGATGATGATGATGATGATGATGATGATGAGGATGCTGATTCTGATGCTGATGCTGATGCTGATGCTGATGCTGCTGATGCTGATGCTGCTGATGCTGATGCTGATGATGCTGATGATGCTGATGATGCTCTGACGCCGAAAGCTCGTTGGGGGCGTAGGTCGGGGGCGTAGGTTGGGAGCGTCTTGGGAGGCTCCTGAAGGCCGCTGGGGGTGTCCCGGGGCTTTCTTGGGGGGTCTTTGGGCCGCTATGTGGAGGTTTCTGGGAGGTTTCTAGGGGCCTCTGACGCCGAAAGCTCGTAAGGTCTTCAATCTGGGCACCTTCTTGCGGCCGTCTTTGGGGCTTCTGGGGCTGTCTAAGAGTCCTTTTGGGCCGTCTTGGAGCTGTCTGGGGTCGTTCTGGGGTGCTGTTCGAGGCTTGTTGGGGTACATTCTGGCGTTGTTGGGGGCGGCTGGGACAAGTAGGAGCGTCGGGAAGCAGAGATAGCAAGAAAGCCAGAATTATCAAACAAAGTTACGTGACATCGACGATGTTTGCCTCTCGGGGCTCACCCTCACTTGGGAGTGCTCTTGAAGGTTTTTTGGGGCGTCTTGGAAACGTATTAGGCCGTCTGGAGGTTGTTGTAGCGTTTTGGACCGATTGTTTTCGGTCCCGGAGCCCCTGCGGACCGTTGTGTAGGCCGCTACGGGTTTGACGACGCGCCGACGAGGTTCTGCTGCAAATCGCACCCCCGCGAAGCGCGTGGTCAGGACGGTAAGAAGAGCGATAATTGCACGCGCAAGCTCGCGAAGGTCGTGGCCGCCCGGCTACGACGACCACATCGACCTCCACGAGTGGCGCGCCCGAGCCGGAGGGCGAGGAGGGCGGTCCCAGCGCGTGCCGTTCCTCGGGGGCCCGCGCTGACAGCGGCGGATGAGCGAACGCTCCGATCCGCAGTAGTTCAGCCCCGCGTGAAAACGGGGCACCCGTCCAACGACCCGCTGGCCTGGGATATCCGGTCTACAGGCGGATCGCCGAGAGCGGTCGAGATGGCCGTCGACCTTCACTGCGAAGTCTGCGCCGCACATCTGCGACCACTACCCCGCCTATTTCAACGACTCCATCGGGGTGGGCCTTCTCGCTCTTGCCGACCACGCCGGTAACCAGCTGATCTTCCTCAACGTGGCCTGCGTGGCTTCAGGTTTTACCCTGTGCGGCGCCGTTCCCTCGAGGCGCCCCTCGGTTGTCTTCGCTCGACCGTTGCAGATTTGGATGTCACCCTCTGGCGCGCCTCGCCGCGTCATCTTCGATGGGCGAGGCGAGTTCGAGCGAGAGTTTTCCAAGGATTTCGAGGACTTTGGCTGCCGCCTGACGACGACCGCCGCGGCTGCGCCGCAGCGGAGCGCCACCGTGGAGCGTCGCGGAGGCTCGCGGGAGGTTCACGCCGGGGAGCTGATCGATCAGTTCGCAGTTCAGCATCAAGATCGACCAGCCCGAGACAGCTCACCACGTTCAGTGGCTGCTCGCGTCGGTGTGCTGGCCATGAGTCGCCGGGTCAACGCTTCCAGCTGCTCGCCCTCTCACTGAGCGCTCGGGCGAGAAGTTCAAGTGCCGTGCGTTTTGCTGGGCCGGCAGACTCTCCCCGCGCGAGAGCGCCGTGTCCGGCGGGCCGTTCTCCGTTAGAGTTGCCATCGCGAAGGCCGCCCAGACGTCCATCAAGCAGCTTCTGTCCAACCACTCCCTGGCAGGGGCGCCGCTGGCCCGGCCTTGGGCAGATGGGGCGCGACGCGCCGCCGAAGTCTACCGGGCGGGCGACCGGGTGCGCTACTGGGGAGGCAACGGCAAGCCCAAGCGCGAGCGGGCAGCACCGACCCGGCGTCATCATCGGTTTCGAGGGCAACGCCGGCGTCTGGTTTAGCCGCCGCCCCGCGACCGCGAAGGTCAACCGCGGACGCCTTTCTCGCGCCGCGGCTTCAGAGCTCGCGCCCCGGGGACATGCGCCGCGCGCCCCGCGTGGCAACCCGCCGCCTCGGCCGCCGCAGGGCCCGCCTCCCGGCGGGCCGCCGGGAGACCAGCCACCGCCGCCACCTCGAGGTCCAGGAGGAGGAGGAGGAGGAGGTGGTGGACCAGCACCTCCCGACGCGGGCGAGGATGCATATCTCGACCTCGCGAGCGCCCCTCCGCAGAAGCGCCCCTCGCTGGCGACGTGCCTGAGACGCTTCAATTTCCAGCGCCGCCTGAACAATGGGCCTAACCAGCACGGGCTCAACAACGTGCCCTGCCATCGCATCACTCTGGCAACTTCGAGGATGCAGCCGCGAATCGCGAAGCACGCGCATTCGCCGAGTGGCTCAGACGCAAGCAGGGCGATGCTGAGATCATTGCCAGCGGAGGCGCCAGCGGCAGTGGCGGACCGCCGCCGGCGCCTTCGGGGCGAGAAGCGGCTGCTGGGCCGCCGCCTGCAGCGCCCGACCAATTCGACTCGGGCGCCGCTGCTGCAGCCGCCGATCCTGCCGCCGCGGAGCTCGCGATGCCAGAATGAACACCTCGAGGCCCCATCGACGACGACCAGAACGACGATATATCCGACAGCTCGGGATCGGACGCGGCCAAGGAGTGGGCCAGGGTCGCGGGCGAGCAAGCTCGGCAAGAAGCAGTAGCTCGGAGACCGCTGGGCACAGAGCCAGCGTGGGGCCAAGACCCAGCGCCAGCTGCGTCAGGAGGATGCGTCGAATGTGCTATAACGAGATCGCCGGGAAGACCTCGGCCCGCGCGCGCGAGCCAACGAGCGCAAGGGGTTCTAGGGCGACTTGCTCAAGTGCATCACGAGGCCGAAGGACACCTTCAAGGTCGACCTTTTCCTGGAGGGAGAATCATTCTCGGATTCGCCCGGGCGAGATCTCCTTGTCCATGCAATTCCGCGAGGCCTTGCTCGCTGGCGACTCGACTGTGGAAGAGCTGAAGCGCGACGACCTCGGCGTCGAGGAGAAGAGGAACCTGGACATCACCACGAAGACCGAGCGGTCTAAGTGGGCGGAGTGCGGCGCCTACAGGAATCTCCCTGCCAAGGGGCGGAAGGAGCTCATGCGTCGCAGCCCTGGCATTCGCGCTGCGGGGGCACGCTGGGCGTTGGCCGGGAAGGGCCAAGACGTCATGAAGGCCTGGCCGGTCGCCCAGGGCGGCCAGAAGGATGCGTCTCAGATCGGGGCAGACGCGCCGACGGGATCGAGAGGCGCCGTGTACCTGACTCCCGCCGCTGCGGCCCAGAAGGGTTGGGACCTCGAGTCCAGCGATGCGATGGCGGCCTACCTGCAGTCGGGGAACAACGAGAGACTGCTGCCCTTGTGCAAGCCGGCCAAGAAACCGACGCCAGGGGCGCAACCCGGCGAGATTGCGATGGCCAACGGCGCGATCTACGGGGCGCGCGACGCGGGCTGGCAGCAGCACTTCTCCCCGCAGGCTTCATCGAGAGCAGGCTCGAGAAGAGCTTCTATTATTATTTCTCAGACGAGAAGGGGCTCGCCGCCATGATCCACGCGCGCGTGGGCGACTTCCTGATCGCCTCGCTGGAGACTTAGCTGCGCCTCAAGAAGGTCGAGGGGGTCATCAAGAAATGCGGACGTACCATCACCAAGCTCGACGACTTGTTCAGGGTGGCCCAGGCCGCCGCCACCGCGCAGGTAGACTTCGTGGGCTTCAAGGCCGAGAGAGGTCGAAGTGCAGAGGATCGACTCGCAATTTCGGAAGTGTCAGGATTTCAACGAACTCTTGGGCTCGGGTCGACGTCGCCGACCCAGTTTGCTTCGCCGCTCGTCGCGCGAATGCCGCCGCCATGGCCGGCGCCGAGGCGCTGCGCAAGACCGTCGTCTGTGTGCGCTTCTCCGCGAACTC